CTCAGGAGAGGGGATGAAAGGGGCAGAATCCCCTCCCTCGCCCTGCTGCCCACGCTGCTCTTGATGCAGCCCAGGGCACGGTTGGCTTTCGGGGCTGCAGGCGCACGTTGCTGGCTCATGGTGAGAACATTGCCAGCTCCTGCTGAGGGTAGGGGAAGGTGCACCACAGGCTGAGCGTGCCAAAGCCTGGTGTCAGCCAACACAACGTGCGTGGGTGACACACAGGCTTTTCGGGGTGCATACAACCTCCCCCCGCAGCCCCCCCAGCCACCACCACCCCTCCCCACGGCTCCTTCCAGCACAGACAAGGTGAGATAGCCATTCAGCGAGGTGTGAGCGTCACCGCACGTTGAGACCAGGGATGCCAGGAGTGTGTTTCTAGCATGGGCTTTCTAGCTGGTTGTCTAACCTGTGCAGCGAGGTGACGTGGGCAGGCAGCGGGGTGAGGCCGGCGCCTCGGGCGCTCTGCCGGGCACTAAATGCCCTTTTTCCCTTCCTTCCTCCCCAGTGAAGTGCAGCGAGCTGCAGACAATCAAAACTGAGCTGACACAGATCAAATCCAACATCGACGCTCTCCTGGGCCGACTGGAGCAGATCGCTGAAGAACAGAAGCTGTCCGCAGGTCAGCTGGGCGCGTGCGGACGCCTCGGGAATGGGCAGAGGGCGCAGGGAAGGGCCCTGCAGAGGTGGCCTTGAAGCCATCGCGGCTTAGAGCATCCTCAGGGCTCTGACGCTGGCGTGTTGACTCCCAGGTTCCAGGATGGAATCACAGGCCAAAATTACGTGCCAAAATTCCCCAAATTATGGAATTGGGTTTTAAAATTATGAGATTTTTTTTCTTTTGTCATATAGTTTGTATTTTTTCAGTTTGTTTTTTTGTTCTGTTACTCTGTTCCTATTCTGTCCTGTCTGCCCCCCACACTCACTCTGGAGGAGTGCAGAATGGTGACCTGCTCTGCCCTCCCCAGGGCTGCTTTCAGGCCGCTTCCTCAACACCAGCAAAACTTCCCGTTGCAGAAAAAGCCCCAGATCTGTTATTTACCTACCAGCTGAATCTGGGGGCCCATGGGATTAGTGGCATCAGGCTCCAGACATTGCCTCCCCCAGCCCCTGATCCTGGGGCTTGGTTCTTGCTCTCCCAGAGGTGCGGAAGAAGGCGGACAGCAGCAAATGTGAAATCTCGCAGGAAGACACGGCGTCAGAGGCAGAGGCCAACACGGAGGAGCCGCTGAACGGGGACGAGGGTGAGGAAGAGGGTCTTGCACGGGAGGAGTGTGAAGATGAACTGGTAAGAGAGTTTGGGTAGTGCATCCCTCCAGCCAAAGGCATTCCGTAATGGACCGCAGTTTTGCTGGAATTTACTAAACCCCCAGAAAAATAGTTTTTCCTTCCTCAAAAGAAATTGTGGTATTGAAGTCCCACGATTGGTCACAGCTTGTTCTTTCAGCCTGTTCTGCTGCTTGCAAAAGCATTGACCTAGCAAATGCATGTAGAGACGCTGAAGAAACATGGTTGGCTCTTGAAATTCGGACCGTATTTATCCCTGATTTCACGACTGTGAATCAGTGGTTAAACCAAGGTGCTCTGCTCCCAAGTAATTCTCAGATGGATTGAAACACACGGCAAAGAGAGGCGATGTCGTATTAACTGCATGTTCCGAACAACGTGCATTTGCAATGCGCTTTGTCTGGACGGGCACCGACAGGCACCAGCCTGGTTGTAAGGTCTGAGCAAGCCATGGCTGCTGTCCATGGCAGCACTCGAGCATGGCTGCCCCAGTGCTGTGGACACAGCAGCCCCTCTGGTGTTAGTCCTGCCCCAAATAAGGACACTCCCAGCAAACCCAGTGAGCAAATTTTGTGCCTAAAAAGGTCTGGATGGGACCCCTCTTCTTGGGTGCTCTGGCAGCAAGGGTAATGCAGGGCACTGTTACCACTGGCAGCACTGTCATTTGTACCAAATTACAACTCCTCTGAGAACAGGATCAGCTCCAGACCCAGGCAAAGGCCCACGGGGTGCTGGGCTGGAAGGACAGCCCTGCTTGGTGCCTCTTCCCCGGGACCACAGCCCTGGGAAGCGGGGATGGCTGGCACGGCTCTCCCACGGAGGCTTGGGGCACGTTGGGGCAGCCTCTGAGCCTGCACCGAGCGTCCCCTGCAAGAGCTCCGCTCCTTCCCCACCCCGGCGCTGGTGGCAGCAGAAGTGAGGATGAAGCTCAGCATCTCTTACTCCTTCTTCACCCCCTCATCGCTGGGGTGACCGGAGTGCATGGCACATGCGTGGCACTCTTCCTACGGCCAAAAAGCTCCTCTAACTCAAAACACTTCTCCGCTTGTTTGCACTCTGCTGCTCTGGCCCACCTTAGTCATGATGGATGAGGGGTTTGACCGGGGTCTTTCAGCTGTTTCAGCTTCTGGGGCCTCATAGCTGAAGTCCATGACTCCTGCGAAATCTAAGAAGAGATGATTAAGGGGAGACATTGTAACAGATGCGATGAAGAAGAAAGGCAAAAGCTGGCCTCCATCTCTATGGCAATTAGGATAAGGAAGGAGAGGTTTGCATTAGATCAAGGAAAACAGCTGGTAGAAATTAGGGGGAAACTTGCTGATTCTAATGGTGATAAAACAGCACACAGCCTGTCAACAAAATAATGTGGACTTTTCTGCCATTGGTGGGCTAAGAAAAGAGAGTGGACAGACATCTGCTGGCAATGGTGTAAGGGGAGCTGGTCTTCATTAAGAGCAGATGAACAAGATGACTATTTCAGCTCCCTTCCATCTCTAGTTTCTGTAACTTTCTGATCCTAAAGCGGCATTGAGATCAGAAATATTTTATCGCCGACATCAGACAGGCTCACATGCTCAGCGTGGGCAGGTTAGTGTGTGTAGTTCATCTGCAGGGATGTGCTCTTAAACACTGCACGGCAACCCGCAAAAGCCATCCTTTCTGTTCTGCTCCTGACCGTACGGCACCGAACAGTTCTGAAGTCTTTCCAGTTCCTGGGGACCGACTCCTTCACCTGACGTCTCCTGGCTTACGCACCACCTGCTGCCCACCGACATGGTGCCCACGCCAGTCCCTTACCTACCCTGGGCTCTGAGGGGCAGCCGTGTTGCAGGAAGAGAGTCGCGGGTCACTCAGATCTGATCTAGTAGTTAAGTTACTGAATTCTAATCAGTGAATTTAGGTATGTAAAATATGTAATTAGTTGGATTGGTAGTCAATATTCTACTATTTATTACACTTCAAGCTAGTATGGGATGCAAAGATTATTGTGTAACCTGACTATACTTACCTTAAATGTTACTTCCATGCAAAAAAACGTCACTTGCCAACCCGTCTATGCCTGGTGGCAAGTAAGGGGTCTCTCAGCCTCGAGGGGTAACCTGGAGAGGCGTCCCTGCTCAAGCGGCGATCCCCACCGCGCAGCCGGCTGTGGAGGGAGAGCTCAACGGGCCCCGATGGCCGCAGATATTTATAGTGTAAAGTGGTTGACTCGTCATCCGATTTTCTGCTGCGCTGATGCAGTTTTGGCCACTTATCAGCCCAGTCTCCAGTTAAACTGGGTTGCTCTGCTGCTGGGTTCTCACTGATAGCCTCACACAGCAGGATTAACTTTGTTTAGGCTTACTTGCTGAGCACCTGCCTGGGCCAAGATCCAGGTAGTTCAATCAGCAGGAGTGCATCCATCACAAGCGGGAAGGATGCTGTTTATGCAAGGCAGGAACCAGAGCTGCCAGCGCTTGGGCAGTACCCAGCACAGAGGCTTCCCGGCCGTGAACCTCTGCACCATGGTGACAAGGGGGGAAGATCCAGTCAGACATGGGTGTAGGTAGGACCTACACCCTGTAGACGGGTGTAGGATGTCTCCTGAGGACCCGCAGGTCTGAGCATCCCTGTTCTTAGGAGAGTTCACTGAACCAGAGCTCATGTGAAAATATTATGGCTAAGCAGAGCGGTGCTTCACAGCGGTGTTAGCCCTGGCCAGGTGAGGGGGGGCATTTTAGACCCCAAGGAGTCAGGCACACAATTGCCATTGAAAGCCAATGGGAGCAAATACTTCCTTTCAGCCCCACTTCCAGTGCAAAGTTGGCTGCCCAGGTTTTGTGCACAAATCTCTGCTTGGCCTTGGTGAAGTTTCCAACATCACCTGGGGATATCAAGTCCAAAATAGACACTGCAGCCCACAGGGAGAAGGATGAAAGCCTCGCCCCCCCTCCCCTCACATGGGTTTGTGCTCTTTTCAGAGGGGGTGGGCAGGAAAGGAGCTCTGCAGAGAGCAGATAAAGAAGATAATGTTTCATTCCCAAAGGCTCTGCCACTAGGCTCAGAGACCTGGGAGGCCAGAAGACAGACCGGACCAGCGAAAACCAAGCGGAAAAAAAAGCAGCATTGAGTACCTCGGCCTTTTCCATGTGCTCTGTCACTAGGTCCTTTGGTCCCCTGCCCCACTGAGCTTATACATCTCTCAGCCTTCCTTTTGCTGCTGGTGTACCTACAGATGCTCTTCTAACTCCATCACTGCACACTGGAGGGATGGCTCTATAGTCCTCCTTGGTGGCTCAGCTCTGCTTTCTGTCTTCTAGGTTCTGCCTTTACGTGTAGGAAAAAGCTCAGTTGGGACCTTGCTGTTCATCCACGCTGGCCTCCTGCCACACCTGCCCGATTGTCATCAGAATGGGCCGCTTTTGAGCTTCAAGGCAGGTGTCCTTGAAGATGACAGAGATGCCCTGGCCTCCTTGGCCTCTGGATCAGTCTCCCATGGGATTTTGCCAAGGAGATCCTTGAACAAGCCATGTCTGCTCTCTTAAGTTCAGGGATTTGATACTGATCTTTATCTTAGTCACTACTCTCAGGATACTTAACTTCACAGTCTCATGGTTACTGCAGCCAAGACTTCTCTCGATCTTCACGTCTTTGACCAGTTCTTCCTTGGTCATCAGTAACAGCCCGGAATAATGTCTCCCCTAGTCAGCTGTGTCAAAAAATTGTTCTTGACTCTCTCCAGAAACCTCCTGGGTTGTTTGCACCCAGCCCTGCTGCCCTCTCACCAGATGCCAGGGTGGTTGACATCCCCCAAGGAGTACAGAATCACAGAATGGTTGGGGTTGGAAGGGACCTCCATGGGGCATCCAGTCCAAGCCCCTGATGAAGCAGGGTCACCCAGAGCATGCTGCACAGAACCTTGTCCAGGTGGGTCTTAAATATCGCAAAGTCACCCTCAGAGGGAAGAAGTTCTTCCTCATGTTCAGCTGGAACTTCCTCTGCTTCAGTTTGTGCCCGTTGCCCCTTGTCCTGTCACTGGGCACCACTGGAAAGAGTTTGGCCCTGTCCTCCTGACACCCACCCTGCAGATATTTGTAAGCATTTATAAGGTCCCCTTTCAGCCTTCTCTTCTCCAGGCTGAACAAGCCCAGCCCCCTCAGCCTTTCTTCACAGGAGAGATGCTCCAGTCCCCTCACTGTCCTACAAGGGCCTGTGATCAAGCGTCTTTCTCCGGCCATCCAGAGGAGACTTCCTGTAGGGTGGTCTGTAGCAGATGCCTGCCGTGATGTCACCTATGTCGGTGTGTCCCCTGATCCTCACCCACAGGCTCTCAGCTGACTCATCACCTGTTCCAAGGCAGATCCCTGTGCATCTCGGCTATTGCTTTGCCCAGAGCACATGCCACCTCACGTGGCTTTCCTGAAGAGCCTGTTCCCAGGGCGCTACGTGCTCTGTAACTGCAGAGACGGAGCCTTTGTTCTGTTGCCAGAAGTCCCAAGCCTCCAGACTTCCCTCTCTTGGGAGTCTCCATCTACAGCTCCTTTGAGCATAGTCTCCAGCTGTCCTTTCTTCATGCTTTGCCCCTGTAGGGTCTCTGAAAAGACCCCGTTGGTCTCCCTGATTGTAAAAATCTGCTTTCTCCCCCAGTGCCTGGTAAACCAGCCTGCTGCTAACGAGGTTGGGACTGGGCTTCCTTGCGTTTCCTTTCCGATTACCTCGCATCCCCTGCAGACATCTCCTGGATCTATATCCATCTCTCAGAAACTCATCACAAAACGTGGCCTGTGCAGGAGATAAAACACTCCCGCTGAGCCCCTGGTGCTGTTAATGGTACTGCATTGCAGAACGGCCCTGGCAGGGGGACGTTCACATGCTGCGCTTTCGAAACCACCGCGGCGTGGGGAGCGGTTCCGCACACCAGCACTGTTGTTGTGGCCTTTGGAGCAGTGAATATTAGGAGTGTTATCATTCTGGATGATGAGTTCTGCTGCAGACTGGGACTGGTTTCTGCATGCAACGGCAGAGTCATTACATCGTGCACGATTTGCCGTTGTGGACTGGCTGCGCCTTAGCATCACTGGGCAGTTCCAGTAACACAGGAACGCCTCTTCCCTGGTGCGGGCCATTCCTAGGTCCCTAATTAACTTCTGATGGTGCTACAGGAAGGCGTGAGCTGTGCAAGCACACGCAGAAAACTTGATGAAAGTGCTGAGCATGGACTTCACCTGGCCATGCAGAAATTAGGCATCCAGTCTAGGCATGGCAACTCATGCCACAGGCTCAAGACCTTCCCTGGGACTTGCCCACTGGAGGTGCTGACTCTGCTGTAGACTAAGTCAGGCATCTGACTTCACACAAGGGAAGGTAGGCTCCATTACGTCCCAGTCCCTGAGGTTCAGACGGAGCCAGACTTCAAAATCCAAGAGGGAATCACACATCCCGGGTGTGTTTGGCAGAGCCCTTTCAGAATAAGGAGCCAGAGGAAATTTTTGGGTTGCCTGGGACTGTGTCCACCAGAAACCGCAGCCACGGCCCACTGTGTCCATGTCAGGTGTGGTTTGTAGCTCCTGCACCACGCTGAGCAAGCTGGCACTGCTTGCAGCGTGCGAGGTCTCCCACACCACGGTGTCCCAGGCAGGGCAGGAGGGACGCGTGGTGATTTACTGTTTCTGGTTCCCTTTTCCCTCCAGGAGAACAGCCATTACACAGACGTGGAGGACGCCAGGCTACAGTAACCAGGTACGGCTCACGCACTGCTGCTTAGAGGCGGATTCTGAGCAAAAGCTTTCATTCCATGCTTGATGGGCTGGGGGTTGCTGCCTCAGAAGATGCTCTTTTCCACTGATCCTCTCTGTTTTCCTAGTGCTCAGCCTGGCTGCTCAGCTGGGCCACTGCTCAGCCCCTCACTCCCTTTCCTAAATCACAAATCTTTCAGGTCCAAGGAAAACGATATACCCTGTTTTTCACCCCCTCCCTGTCTCTCTCTCTCCTCCACGCAGCCCATTCAGAACAGCAGTGAGCAGCAGTGTGAGGAAAGCACGAGGCTGAACCCTGTCCTGGCACGTTGAGCAAGCCAAGCTGAATCGAAGTGCTGCTGTCATCTCTACCTGGCGTTCAAAAGGAGAAACACGGCCTGACATCTTCCATCCATCTGTAAAGCAAAGACGAAGAAACCTCATCACCCCGGCGAATCCCCAGTGCCCTGTGCAGTGGATTTGGAGCTCTGCAGCCAGCAGAGGCAGGAACCAAGCCCTGCACAATCCATAACCGTCACCGACTGGAGAAGGGGAGAGCGGTTGTGTCACCAAGGGAGTCAGCGATGTTCTAGAGCTTTTTGTAGGAGAGGAGAGAGAGCTAAGACCAACCAAGTAAAGACTTCCCCCCCCCCCCATGCTAGGTGAGAGCCAGAGCATTTGCCAGCTGGGGGAGAAGCACTGTCTCAGTGTGGACACTTTGTGTTCTCACACTGGAAGTCATGTTGAGAAGGAGGGTGTGGGGTGAGCTGTCCTCCTGGAATGGCTGCAGGCACGTGGCCACTTCCAGGTGGAAAGGGCCGGTGCTGGTGCGTGTGCTGTGCTCCATGCAGCTGCTTGGAGAGAGGGGAAGGGGAAAGGCTGCTGCCTGCGGGAAAGCGAGTGGTCCCAAGCAGGAGAAACAAAGCGTGCGCCATCTTCAGTGGTTTGGTCTCCTCATTGTCCACTGGGAAACCACTGTGTAGAAGCTGAGCAAGGGTGCAGGCATGTGTGGGTGAGACCCTGTTCTTGGACCAGCTGCTCCCTGGAAGGGATGTAATCCACCCGCTTCTCCAGCCCAGCCCCTTCCCCAAGGTGCTCACATCTCCTCTTGCCCCAGCCTGGCCGGGTCTTCACAGCGACCTGGCACGGCAGGACTGCGGGGCTCCTGCTGCTGGCTGCGACAGCCGTGCTCCATCGCTGGGTCTGCGCCGCGTGACAGCTTGCCTGAGCGTAACGAGACCGGTAACAGTGAACACCCTGAGCACGATGCATGTGGGCGTGCAAGCACCTCCCCTGCCTACCCAAATCCAAGCTGCTTTTTGACCCGCGCCACGTCCCGCGAGCGGCGGGCTGCACAGCCAGCATGGGGCTTGTTGTGGGAACCACCTTACACCCCTGCGCCCAAGAGGTTTCTCAGCCTTTCTCTTCTTCGTTCCTCCACCGTGGGCTTATCCAGTTTTCCTGAGTTCAGAGGTAGATGGGACTGAAACTCACGCAGCACTTTATTCAACTCAGAGGTGTCCTGCCCGTCTCCCCATACCCCTCCAAAACAACCGCCCCCCCCCAGTGCTTTGAATCCAGAACGGCGTCCACAGCTTTTCCTTGGTCAAAACCCCCCACGAAACGCGTGGCCCCCGGCTCACCCAGGGCGCTCTGAAAGGGGACTCCGGCTCTCCGCTCCGGCGTGCAGAGCCGGACCTCAGCCACGGCATCTCTCTTCCAAGGGTGCAGGGGAAAACAGGTCCCGGGGGCCACGGGTCCCTCCCCCAAGGGCCATCCCAGAGCAGGCATGGCTCTTGAAGCACAAGGTTTTGTTTGCGTTGCTTAGTTTCAAAGAATTCATGAGGGATTAAAGGGATAACCGTGCTTTCCCCTACCTTATTCCGGTTCCTGTACAATTTATCCGTTGTGTTGTACCGAGCCGTTGTAGAGCTGTTTTCCAGGCTTTGAGACACGAGCTGCTGTTTTTGCTAGGAACTGACTGTGACGCTGATGTTTGGGAGAAAGGTGACCTTGTACATACAATCCTGTATAATAAAAGAAAGAAATCTAATTTGCTTTTGCTATTTTCTCTCTCTGCCGTACACACACACGCACACACTTTTTTCCTCTATTTCAGAGAAGTCGTGTTTCCCTTTCTGAGCTTCAGCTCTGCCCACAGGAATTGCTTTCCTGTACACAAGGCGTATCCCACTGGGCTGAGCAAAACATCTGGCTTCCCAGGAGCGCTGGGACTTTTCCCCAGGAGGCCTGGAAACTCATCTAGTGCAGGAGAGCGGGGGCCAAATCCAGGCCTTTAACCTCTGGACTTTGCTCTAGTCCAGCTTGTAACATACTGGAAAAATGAGGCTGCTCTGCCAGTTTGTACAAGACAATGGTGCTAATAAATGCTCCTTAAGCACAATGTCTTCTGGTCGTCCCCAGTCCCTTCCTCACGCCGTGTTGCCAGCTGTACGCATGTTCACTGGCGTAATCATCCAGCCCCTGGCATGCTTGGCACCTGAGCTGTGCCTGGAGGGCACCAGGAACCGGCTGGGGAGAAGCCAGCTGCTCCCAGGCTTTCAGTGCTTGAAGTTTCCAGTCCTAGAAAATTGTCTGCTGAGCCTGGCCTGAGCCGCCATCCAGCACTGGAGCTGCCGATTGCATCTGTTCGAGTTCCTGGTGAGTCCGGGGATGCTTGAACGTCCATCCGTCCATCCGTCCTGCCCCCAGCCACCGGTTCACTTCAAGATGAGGAAAGCAGCATCATCAGATTAATGGCTGGACGTCTTTGTGGCTGGGAAGAAGGAGGAAGGATGGAGGGAAAAAAAAAAAGATCAAAAGCAAGTTAATACATTTGGCTGTGAAGTTCAAAATCAGCCCAACCTCAGGTCTGTCGAGCTGTGTACGTGGGCTCCCATAGTGACCATGGCTCCGTGCCTCGGAGGAGGGCGAAGCGCTGCCTGGCTCCATACCCACCCTGAGCCCCTGCCGAGCGCGGCACCGGGCTGGGGCCGGGCGACCACAGCACCGCGCAGCTCAGCAGCTTGCGGCCCTGAGAGCGTGGTCGAGGACTCCCAGCAAACAACTGGTTGGATTTTGTCAATTATTTTGGGGGGAAGAGTGAGGCACTTTGGGAGCTTTGATGGAGGCCCCTGTGTGGTAATTCACCATCGGCTGTAGATAGGGCCTCAGAAAAATGAGTGCTGGGTTTTTCGAGCTCAGTGAGTTCTGTATGCGCCGATCCAGAAGATCTTCGCACGAAGATGCAAGGGCAGAGCAGTGGGGTGGGGAAGGGAACCCACCCCACCCCTTTCACCCCTCAGGGCCACAGGGCAGCTGCAAAGCTTCCTGCTGCCTTCACCAGCTCCATCAGGAGAGGAGCAGGGGAGGGGAGGTGTCACCCCCCTCGCTCCCAGCATGGCTTCCTGGGGACGGAGAGGGAGGGCAGGGGGAGGCAGATGCCCACCACAGGGGTGCGAGGCAGGGGGGGAGAGCTGTGGAGACGGAGGGCAGCTGGAAGCACGTGGGCTGTAGATGTCTCAGGACTCTAAAGCAGTTATGGTGAACACTCACGCAGAGTGCAGACAAAGCCATTGGTGCCGTGTGAGCGTGCACCCGATCACCGTCAGCTCCTGTTCCCCGATGCTGCCATCCCATCCTTCCAAGTGTGAACACATGCGTGAGATGAAGTGCTGCATGCTCAGAGCACAACGCAGTGCTTCAACCACAACCCCATCCATCCTCATCCTCAACCCCAGCCCAAACCATGCTCTGCGGTCACAGGGGAGCAGTAAAGAGCAGGAACCCCCTTACTGGGCTTGTCCTGGGGAACAAGAAGATGTGCAGCCCTCCCCAAGGCATTTTAACTATCCATTCCACCAAATCTCATCAGCTTTTGAATGAATAGAAAGGGGTCCCACCCTCACGCACCCAACCTCCTTGCCCGTGGTCCAGTGTCCCCACGGTGTCACTCCCTGTAAATGGTCCCTGCCCTGCTGGGGTGTGGGAAGACGAGGGTCGGGCCAGTCCCTTCTTCCCAGCATTTCCCTCAGGGCAACAGTTAATTCAACATCTGCACGTTCTGAAGAAAAACGGCCAGCATAAATTGAGCAACTCAACTGAACACGCACACAGAGTTTCCGTCTTGTGAACTGGGAAAACAAATGCTTTTGTTAAAGCCTTTCCCCACCATCCCCAGAGGCAAGATCTCGCTACCAGCCGCCCTGGGTCTCGCTCGGCTGCTCGCGTTCGCTGCTCGGCCTGTTGCGACACCGTCTGCGTTTGGTGGCGACGGCGCCATCGTCTTCGTCGGAAACAAAACCAAAGGTCTCAATCCCCGCTGCCTTGCCTGCACCTCCGCGAAGTAAACGTGAAATGTGTGAGGTCGCTACAAGCTTTGGGGTTAACAGCACTGCGCTGGCTGGGAACGGCAGAGGTGGAGGAAGGTTCGGTGCTCCTCTTCCTCGTCCGCTGGCCTCAGCAGTCGCTGAAGCCATAGAACAGGGTTACTCCAGCCCCAAATCCTCCTGTTGCAAAGACTCTGGAAAGGTCTGGAAATGGAAAGACTTTCTGTCAGGCCAAAACACCTGTAATCTGGCATTCACTCTGTGTTACGAGATGCAACAAAAGCCCCCACTGACTTCAATAACTCCTATTAATTAACTTCAATGAGCATGCTGGTTAAAGTCCACGCATACTTCAGTTCTTGCAGCTGTAACAGCACCCATTCTTTGGGAAATTTTTAAAAGGCAGTTGCCACCTCTGTGAGAGTTGTTACATCCTTCCTGCACTGTCTTCCCATTATCTGCAGGACATGGAATTCCATAATTTTTCTCTTCTCAGGAAAGTTGTGGAATCATTTGGAATAGAATTGTGGAACCTGATGGAATGCATCCCTGAGTGCTGAGGGAGCTGGCAGATGTCATTGCTGCGCCACTCTCCACCATCTTTGAGAGGTCCTGGAGGACAGGAGAGGTGCCCGAGGACTGGAGAAAGGCCAATATCACTCCAATCTTCAAAAAGGGCAACAAGGAGGACCCAGGGAACTACAGGCCGGTCAGCCTCACCTCCATCCCGGGAAAGGTGATGGAGCAGCTTATCCTGGAG